CACGCCAGACATACAGCCATTGCTGTGGACTTAGTTGTGGTGATGACGACAAGAGCGCCGAAACCCTCTTAAATCGTTTGGCAAAAGTGGTCGCAGCGCTCACTCTCTGCACAAATGTCTTCACGAGTAGCTCTTCCGGTGACCTCAGCTTCATTTCCAAGCGATGGTCACACTCTGGGAATCAATTGATAATAAACTAAATCACACTTTGAATACACAAATCAATTCATTTAATTGTCATTCAAATCAAATCAATTCACAACAAAACACGTGTTTTGGTTAACGCTTTAAAACAGTGTACAAAAAATACGGCTAAAAATATGCAACACTTTGAGTCCCCTTTGGATTCACTTTACATTCAAATTCAATACAAAAACAATTATTTGAAAATACATTTCAAAACATTATTACTGTTTAGTGAGAAATACATTGAAATGCATTGGATTTCATCACAACATAAACAGTAAAAGTGTTTCTCATTTGAAGTGAAATACAGGCAAACAATCGATACAATCATTGCTGAAGACAGACATAAAGACATGGATTCAATGGATTTCCTCAACGACGACAACGACGACGACACCAATGCATACAAAGTATGTCTTGATTTGAGTCCATTAATGGATTTTAAACGATAATTGATTTGATTTTGATTGAAATACCAGTTGTTTGGCGGCAAAGAAGGCATTGTTTTCATCATTGATGTGACGAAAGACATGTTTACCTCCGATGGACACCACTTCTCACTCTCCCGACAGGTATGGCATGCGATGACACGCTTTACTAATTGTTGATTGACTTAATGGTCTGTTTCGGTGATGTCTTGCAGTGCGTGGAGAATGTGATGAAAAACAAAGCCATCGCGAGTCCATCCGACGAATCGGCGCTTATTTTTATGGGAACCGATAAGACGGACAATGAGTTAGCGTTTGAACACATTGTCGTCGACCATAAGCTCCAGAAGCCGAGCGTCGATCTGATTCTTGGTATCCGAGAGCTTACCGAAGAGGTCTTTGAGACCCGCTTTGGACACAACGGCCGCTACTCTTTAGCCGATGTCTTTATGATTGCTATATCGGAGTTCACTAAAAGGTTTGCCCACTTTTTTAATGGGATGTCTTATATTGTAATTACAATTTGTTTGCCATTCAAAGCAAATCTCATTTCGCGACAAAACGCGTCATTTTGATGACTTGTTGTGCGAATCCTTATTCAGACAACACCACCAAAAGCAGACACTTGAGGTCTACAGCCATTAGTAGAGCCAAAGATTTTAAAGACCACAACATCGACGTTGAATTGATCCCAATTGGAGACAAAGCGTTTGACACCGAAGTGTTTTATGAGGTTTGAACTCTCATTCAAAGTACTTTGATTTGCGAATTAAATACTGATTTTAATACAAAGGCTGTGTTTCCACATCTGAAAGACGACAAGACTGACAATAAAGTGGTAAAATTGGATCAATTAATGTCTAGAGTTTATAGCAAAAACCACACGCAAAGGATATTGGCTTCACTGCCGTTCCGTTTTGGCTCAACCACTGGACCCGATGGAAAGTTAACTGATGTCCAGATGACTGTCTATGTCTACAGTCTCTGTTTGGAGACCAAAAAGCCGACGGCTATTCGAGTCGATCGTAATGACAATAAACCAGTTGTGGCGCAAACCCAGCGCTGGACAGCAGACGTCGGGGCGAGCGTTACGTCCGATGAATTACATAAGAAATACAAGTTTGGCGACGAAAACATACTTATGAACAAAAGTGAACTCAAAACGGGTAAACAGATGGAGGACTCGTCCATTACTTTACTGGGCTTTAAGCCGAGGAATGCCATCAAATCGCACTTTCAGATCAAAAGCGGACACTTCTTGTATCCCAACGAAAATGAAGTGAAAGGCAGTACCGCTTTGTTTAATGCACTCCTCGATAGGTGTGCCAACAGAGAGAAAGTGGTCATCTGTCGGCTCACACTCAGGAAGTCATCGCCGCCTCATTTGGTGGCACTTTTACCTCAATTAGAAGACACTTCAACGGTAAGCATCTCTTTGACAATTGTTATTAAATCAATTAATTCAATATGTGTTGTATTAAAGGGAAAACCCGGAGGTTTTCAAGTGATATATTTGCCATTCAAAGAAGACGTACGACATCTGGCCGTCGACGGGGCGAAGAACCTCGGCGTCAAACCCGAGGCCTTAGAGTTGGCTAAAAATGTTGTCGAAAAGTTGACATTTGCTTTCGATGCGAAGGACTTTGAGAATCCAGTGCTTCAAACACATTGGCGTACGATTGAAGCGCTGGCTCTTAACGAGGCTGACGTCGA